TGTTTACCAACAGGATAATGCACCATGTCATAAGGGTCGAATCGTCATGGATTGGTTCGAGGAACATTCCAGTGACTTTCAAGTCATGTCTTGGCCCCCAAATTCACCTGACCTTAATCCAATAGAGCATTTGTGGTCCTACTTGAAAAATCAAATTCGTGCTGCCACACTAGCCCCTCGCAATGTGAGGGAATTGCAGGACCAGTTGGTGAGCGCTTGGTACCAGATACCTCAGACTACCTATCAGCACCTTCTGGAATCAATGCCACAGCGGGTGCTAGCAGTTTTGAGGGCTAAAGGTGGTCCTACAAGTTATTAGCAGGGTGGTCATAACGTAATGGCTTTTCGGTGCATATGTTCTTTGCTGTGTATTCTGTTATGCATGAAACTGTCAAAATAACTAATGTTATACATTAATATCAGTAATCAAAGTTAAGTAATATTGATTAAAATTTTTATGAAAGGTATTCTTGAAAGAATAATAAAGATTTCAATGATATTCATAATTAACTCACCTGTAATATTGTAAAGAATCGGTGGAGGACTGAGTGATATGAAAGAAGTCGGCGTTGTTGTAAGTGGTGGACAGAGTCTTAAAAAACAAGCTTCAGTTTCCGTCCGTTTTGAGCTGATAGAACTGCATTTTTCCAAGTCAACACCGTTGTCCAGACAATAAGAGGTCCTTGTACGCCTACCCCAGTTACAAGTGCTGCTGCATGGGGACCACTCTGACCATGCAAGTTCTGAAATGATAATTTAGACTAAGAAACGCATTTTAAGATAGGGGATGTTATGGGATATGAGAACTATAATATAGATATTAAAACAGACAAACAAGAATGGGGAGCATTTCTTTTACTGAGTATATTTCAGCTTCGTGTTATTCATAATTTGCAGTGCATATTTGAAGTTTTTTTACACGAAGGTTTAATCTACTCTTTTTTTTGTTAGTAAGCCCAATCCCTGTAATACTTAACTTGAGAATCGGTTATTAAAATATCCGCTGTGAAAAAATATATATATATATATAATCCCACAATTGTCAAAAATTATGCAAAAAAATGTGATGGTTGAAGTCATGGTAAAATCCGAATAAACCGTTAATTGTCAAAAACTTACCAACCCTGGCTTCAAGCCACCGTCGTGTATTGAACCCCAGGAATTCAGAAAGACAGCTCAGTTGATGAGTTTGAAACATCTTGACTGTCATTTTATTTTTTGTATATTTTCGAATCGCATGAAGTTTTCAAACAGTTAATACCAGTACGATTTCAGTTTCTTGGGATTATTTATTTTATTTAATTGATAGGTGAATTTAAACTATGGTATTAACCTAGCTGTATTTAAAAAAGCATGTAAAAATAAATGAAATTTAATTTCAATACAAACCTCTATTGTTTAATTAATGTAAATTTTGTATATCTATATCCAGTTATTAGTAATACTTCGATGTTTAATTACATGGCATTCAGACATGAAAAGTTTAATCATGCAAAAAAATAGTATTACGTAAATTATAAACACTGCAGTTAGTATTGTATATAAAAAAAAATTATTTCAAGCAAACAGAAAAAAAATGTTAAATGTATTACATAACAATTAATGAAGATAAAATATTGTTGCCTAAAATATGAATCATGTATATAAGAATAGAACAGAAATTACAAAGAGCACACGTGGAATTTAAAAAATTATAACCGGCACAAAAGTAAAATAAAATTACATCTGGTATAAAAAAAAGTCCAAATTGATATACTTTATTTAAAATAATGAATAGAGTGGCATTTAAAATGACATTTTTGGAAATAAATCTATTTCAAACTATTGTGCTTGATTTATAATAAGGAATACTAGATTCACATTCAAAATGAAGTTCTATGATACTAGAGTGAAATACAGAATGTTTATAATAAGTAATTTATTTGAAATCGGTATGTTTCATTTACATGATAATTGATAGATTCATGAATACTATATTCTTATTTGAAATAAAGGTTTTAATAATATAACTTTTAGAAACTGGTATATTTGATTAACAAAATAATTGATAATTTTATATCCGAAATAAAGTTATTTATAATACAACTTCTTGAAATTACTGTTTTTGATTCATGCAATGAATACTAAATTCTTATCTGAAATAAAGTACTTTATAATGTAACGTCTTGAAACTACTGTATTCGATTCATGCAATGAATACTATATTCATATCTGAAATAAAGTACTTTATAATGTAACTTCTTGAAACTACTGTACTCGATTCATGCAATGAATACTATATTCATATCTGAAATAAAGTTCTTGATAATACAACTTTTAGAAACTGGTATATTTGATTAACAAAAAATTGATAAATTTATATCCGAAATAAAGTTATTTATAATATAACTTCTTGAAATTACTGTTTTTGATTCATGCAATATGAATGCCAAATTCTTATCCAAAATAAAGTTCTTTATAATATAACTTCTTGAAATTACTGTTTTTGATTCATTCAATGAATACTAAATTCTTATCCGAAATACATTTCTTTGCTGTATAGCTCCTTGAAACTACAGTTTTTCATTCATGCAGTGAATACTATATTCATAAAGGAAATAAAGTTCATTATAATAAAACTATTATAATAAAACTATTACGGTTGACTATTACTTTGAATTACTATGAATGTATTACCTACCAAACTCGCATTCTCGTCCATAGAATCCTTGTAGACAAATACATGTTGAAGGAGGTAGGCAAGAGCCACCATTGCGGCAATTAACTCGACAAGATTGCTTCTCTGAAATAGAGAATATGGCTCTTATATTGCATCATAAATGACATGATCTTATTAACATTATAAGAAAAAAAACTTTCAATAGTAAAATATGAAAATTTTGTTTTTAATGCTAAATAAGGTAGAGAAATATTTTGGTGAATATTAAAAAAATAATTCAACCAATAAAAATATTTTATAATATTTTCTCGAAGTTTAACAAAATAACAATACAGTATAAATATGCAGTTCTAAAATTTTCACAAAAATCTTACTCTGTATATCAACCATAATGTATTAAGGAAATGCAAAATAACTACTCATAGAATAATTATATATGTTTTCATGAAAATAAACCAAGTGAAAGAAACTAAATATGCAGTTCGATGGTAAATATGCATTAACTGATGCAAATATTCCTTCTATTTAAAAAAAAGCGTTTTTTATATGACAGTTTTTACTTTAAAGAATTTTCCAATTTTTTTTAATTTTCATTTTCTACGAAAAATTATGTTTATAGCCCGATGCATTTAATATTATTCTTTTAATTTATTAAGTTTTTAGATTATAAACCATTTAAATAACTAAGAAAAATATTACTTTATCTTAATCATATCCTTATGTAAACAAGAATCATAATTAGTGGTGAAAAAACTTACTTGAATACAATATAGAAATAAAACAATTTATAAAGGCATAAAAAACGTTGGAAATTAAAACTGCGCAGTTTATACATATGTAATTTAAAAGGCTCGTATTTATTGTGAAAGAATTGTATTTAAAGTCAGAGCTTAGTTGGAAAAGTAAATGATTTTAAAATTTAACTAATCGCTTCTGTTGGAGTAAGTTTTATTTTTAGAGCTGCACACGCATCCAGCAGCATACAAAATTTTTCAAAAACTGGAATGTTAGTTATTTTAAACGTTATAACGTGAATGGAAAGTTCATTTTTTTATGGACTAACAAAAGTAAGAACAGCTGACAATTCTTAATAAAATAGAAACGAATTATGCAAACTGATGACAATATTTAGAAAGATTTATTTATTATCACTTCATGTTAATAAACATTCAAATAATTTATTTTTATTTTGAGTCTAATCATCCAATCTTAATCAAATGCTGTTACATCGAAAGTGAATTAGTTATAAATTATCAAAGACTTTGAGAACATCGAGCGAAACTTAAATATATCTAAGCTTTTATTTCACCTAGACTTAAAGAGACATGTAAAAGGAAAGAATATATTAATGACAAACTTTTATGCAAAAAAAAAATATAGTGTCGTATAAGGGTAATAAAAAAATGACTCTTAAATATTATTAAAAAATAATTATACTGAAAGTGAAAGTAAATAATATATTGTACAAAGTCTTAGAAGGGCTCATATTTAGATTGGAAGGGGACAAAAATATTAAAATATTATTAATAGCGCGTAGTTATCAAATCATATGATGATGCAAAATAATATTTAGAAAAGCTTGAAGCAAAATGGGTAAACTTGCAAATCAAATACATATATTTATACAAATAAAAGCTGGTTGCATATTTGCTTAAGAAACTAATTCTTAAATGAAGAACAAAGGGGGAAAATGGTTCGTGTTCATTTTTCTCAAAAAGGACGATTGGTTCACTATCTGTTGAATTTTGAGGATATTTAAGTTCTAACGAATCAACAACTTGGAAAATAAGTTCTCCCCGAGAGTTATCTCACTTTGAAGATTGATCATGCTGGAGGAAAACAATTACTGTCCACGCGTAGATAAAGCGAAGAAAGAAAAGTATAGAGAAAAGTACAGAGAAGTATAGATACGGGGAATTCCACAGTGGAAATATTATGATTGGGGAGGAATTTCGTGGGAAAAAAATGGTTTTTATCCAACATAATTTCCGAATTTTACTTTTTATTTTTAAAGTTTTTGAGGGATGTAAATAAATGCTTGTATTGCATGCATAATTTTATGATTTCTATCGTGTGTAAGCTCCTGAACAATTCCAAACCTTTAAATTTGATTTTTCACAAAATTAGCTTTTTTAGACATAAACTATCTCTCCCTCATGGTTCTTAACACGTGTTTTTATTTCTTAAAATTATTTTTATTGTATTAAATGTTTGTGCGGTATTTAAAAAATTTATTTGATTGTTGTAATTTATACATTATCTGACGAAAATTAAAGTAATTTGCATTGTTTTTTTTCCCTAAATATTAAATTTGAAATGTGTTTTGTTTATGTAATGATTATATTTTGTTGACGAGACTTAATTACATTCAGAAATATTCTTAAATACGACTCAAAAAGAAATAAAACAAAGAGTAACACATACCACTTACCGTACTGGCACAAGCTTCCATAGAAACCTGGAGGGCACAGGCACTTGTAAGGCGGTTGGCACGTACCCCCATTTTTACAGTACACTTTACACTTCAGCTTCATTCTGACTCCTGGGAAAGTAGACAAGTGGATGTAAAAGTACATTGAAAAGATCTTGAATTCTAAACAAACTATATTTGTGTTGTTCAGTGGCAAAACCAGTCATCTCCCAAACATAAGACTTTCAAAAAAAGCTAATTTTCGGCTACATTCAGCCTCAGATAGGGGCAGAAACTTTTTGGTTGAAGAGGCATTATGACAACGTGTTTTAAAACTCAATATAAGGACGCAGGTGCACGTGAAGCTACGGGGTTTTAAATTTTATTTTACATTTGACAAGTTTCGCAACAATCTGTTAAATTTAATGCAAATACTATATTTTTAAAATTGCAATTGTAGAAAATATTTTGTTCTATTAAATTGCTTTCAATCGTAGTGAGAATATCTCTAATGCCTTATTTCCTGCTCAAATTCACAGGGTGCGGTCTGTGTACCTTTGAAAATTTACAAGGAGGTGGTGACCAAATCCTATATTATACTATTTTATTCTTTTATTCTGTAATTCCTAGTTCATAAGAATGTCGACTCCAATGAATGCTACTCACGAGTATGTGAGTGTATTCATGGTTATTTCGTATGTAAATATGATTATGATGAGTACATGATTTTATATACGTGTATGATGATTTTGTTTGTTATATATCAAACTATGTTCCTGCCAAATTTTATTTTAATCGGCTAACTAGTTTTGGTGTTATTCGCAAAATATTGAATATTTTCCAAAATATGAAAATTCCCTGAACTTTGAACAACATTACAGATATACACCGAAGAGTCATTACATTATGACCACCCTCCATCTATAACAATGGGCTCGCCCAGGTTTTTATGGTTTCTCGCCCAGGAACAATGTTTTCATGGGGCACATTAGGACCTATAATCCTCATAAAATAATCCCTGACGTCTGCAAGCTACTTGAACATAGTTGCAGACCAGGTTCATCCAGTCCAGTGACTTTCAAGTCATGTCTTGGCCCCCGAATTCACCTGACCTTAATCCAATAAAGCATTTTTGGTCCTACTTGGAAAACCAAATTCGTGCTGCCCCGCTACCCCCTCGCAATGTGAGGGAATTGCAGGACCAGTTGGTGAGCGCTTGGTACCAGATACCTCAGACTACCTATCAGCACCTTGTGGAATCTATACCACGGAGGGTGCTGGCTGTTTTGAGGGCTAAAGGTGGTCCTACATGTTATTAGCAGGGTGGTCATAATGTAATGGCTCTTCGGTGTATATGTTCTTTGCTGTGTATTCTGTGATGCATGAAACTGTCAAAATAACTACTGTTATACATTAATATCAGTAATCAGAGTTAAATAATATTGATTAAAATTTTTATGAAAGGTATTCTTGAAAGAATAATAAAGATTTCAATGATATTCATAATTAACTCACCTGTAATATTGTAAAGAATCGGTGGAGGACTGAGTGATATGAAAGAAGTCGGCGTTGTTGTAAGTGGTGGACAGAGTCTTAAAAAACAAGCTTCAGTTTCCGTCCGTTTTGAGCTGATAGAACTGCATTTTTCCAAGTCAACACCGTTGTCCAGACAATAAGAGGTCCTTGTACGCCTACCCCAGTTACAAGTGCTGCTGCATGGGGACCACTCTGACCATGCAAGTTCTGAAATGATAATTTAGACTAAGAAACGCATTTTAAGATAGGGGATGTTATGGGATATGAGAACTATAATATAGATATTAAAACAGACAAACAAGAATGGGGAGCATTTCTTTTACTGAGTATATTTCAGCTTCGTGTTATTCATAATTTGCAGTGCATATTTGAAGTTTTTTTACACGAAGGTTTAATCTACTCTTTTTTTTGTTAGTAAGCCCAATCCCTGTAATACTTAACTTGAGAATCGGTTATTAAAATATCCGCTGTGAAAAAAGTTGAGTAGTGTATAGCAATATGCAATACGAATTCCTAATTATTTTGAATTTAATCTATTCCTATAGGAATATTTCTTGTTTTGCTTATATATTACGTAAATAAACCTTATATATGATTTCATTATTCATTTGCTAACATAAAAAAACGAAATTTAGAAATACTAATAATTCTTAATCTATAATTTATTTTCATGTCTTTTCATGTCAAAGAATTAACACGGTGTATAGTAAATGTTAAATAATCAAAACATCATTTTCAGAAAAAAATACTTGAATTTATAAATTTACATTTACAATTAATTGTAAATCTCAATTTTAATTAGATAGCATTTTAGAAATTGTAGACAGTAGATTCATGAGAAAAAATAACGTACTTGTAGGGCAAATGTACAAGAACCGTATTTGCATGGCAATCGCATTTCTTGCAAAAACCATAAATTCTGGTAATATGACAAATGTATACGGTATTTAAATCATTCATTTGGTGATTTTTCCGTTTGTAGGCAACGATTTACCGGAGATTACGGCTCTCAAAATTATAGTTCATATTATCACTTATTTAACAAAAATACGTAATACATTTAACAGAAATAAAATTTTACCTAATGAATGCTTTTACCCCATGTTCTTAGGTATCATGGGTATATTTTCTACCGAACAGTTTGGTAATATGACCATATTTTATAATTCTGTGGATGAAATTACAGAGCTTTTTGGTGTTCATATACAGCCAGATCACGTTAAACTTTACCATATTCTGGTAATTTTTACCATTATTTTTATTCTTAGTGTAGAATCTATGCTATTAATTTCATGAATATGAAAACTACACATAGGTTATTTAAAAGTTATCTTATTGTTGAAAATTTTTAGAGAGATTCTTTCATTTTGTGATAGATTATACCATACTGGTTTAATTAAGTAGAAATTAGGACATTTTCATAAGATTTGTTTTACAAACTCCGCAACTTTAACCGTCGCCCTAATGTTGATTCGATTGGATTAAATTAATATTAGAGTGATTCAATTATTCAAGCTTTATGAATAGACTTATTATAATGATCATTGTGTTCTAATCTAAATCAAATAATTAAGAATTACCAAATAAAGTGTCCTCTAATGTATCATACGTGCTCATATGGGTAAATTAAATTCTATATTTATATTATAAAGTTTTAACACATTATGTTTCTTAAACCAGAAAATTGACACATGTAATTAAGATTATTATGCGCTAAGCTTCAGTGCAAGTTGGACTAGCAATTTTGTTTAATGCCATGAAGCGTAGTGTGGAATAATTACCTCAATCTTTGCAGATATTTTTAGCCATTTATCAGTTTGTTTGAGAACTTAATTTTGCTTTAAAATGTTTGCGCAATCATGACGTCACTTTATCCGTCTTGCATAAGTCTCTATAACTGGCAGGATTTTGTGAAGTAATTAATTTTTTTTAAAATTTTTAATCGTAAATAAATAATTTCTAAAAACAATCTGTATGTGTTTAGAGCTTACATCTTAGGCCTATGTTATTTTTTAAAAAATTAAACGTTCATTGTAAAGTTTTTTTTTCTCGACAAACTAAAATCCGCAGCCAATTTCAGTTGTTTAGATAGTTAAATGTTTGAAAAAAAGAGAGAAAAAGCCCTCATGTTTTCTACAGAATATATTTTTTAAAAAGTAAATTTAATAATATAATCTTGAATAGTATAATATTTAAGGCATGTTGTGTTAAAAGACTGTACACTTATGCAACAAATGTAAAAATTGAATTTTTTTCTTTAATATATTATTTAAAAATTTAAAATTAAAAATAACTTGAACATATTCTTGTCCATTAACTAATAACATATTCACCACAATCAGATAAAAACAAATATTTTCCAAATTTCTTTCCCTTAAAATTTCTCAATTATAAATAGAACATGTACAGTGCGAAAAAAAAACGAACCATCTTGAATAATTTTGACCCAGTGATCATACCTTCACGTTCTAGGACTCAATCTTAATGCTTCGAGGGAATAACTTCAAAGACGCTAATTCTTAAGAGCAGATGATATTTTAATTGATAAAATTAGACACAAAACGCACTTTCTCTGAATAAACATAGCTTTTTACGACGGATTTGAATTTCTGTCCCCCAAAATATAGAGAGTAGCTGCAATCTAGGAAATATGATCAAGAGGGTTTTATCAGGAGTGTGGTCCAAGTTACTTTTTGCGTATTTCGCCATAGAAAAAGTCGTATTTTAAAAATTCAACTTTCAGGAATTATTTGGCCAATTTGGGTCAAGTTTTGTATTGTGTCATGTAAAATTGCATTTTTTATAATAATGTAAAAAATATTATGTCATACGATTAAAAATAAAATTAATATATGAAATAATAGAATTAATAAATATTCATTTAAAAAATAATTGTTGCATGGAATAATCTTTGGATAAATGAACTTAATAATTTCCTGTAAAACATTTTTCAATCCTCTTAAAAAAATTCACCTTATAGTACGCAAAAGTGAAATTAGCATTACTGTTTCCAAGCTTTGGACCACTCTAGTGACCAAACTATCGAGACTAAATTTCTTAGATTAAAGTTATCCCCTATATTTTAGGAATCGGAAATTCAAATTTGTTTAAAATTATTGTTATCGCCTAAATTTATTAATAGGCATATTTAAAGCCAACCCTTCGAACCTATAAGCCCTAGAACGTAAACACCCGATCATTAGATCAAAATTTATTCAGGGTTATCCATTTTTTAACACTGTGCAATTACTTTTCGTGGTTTAAATTTATAAATATTTAAAAATAATTCAGCAGTGACTAACCAACTTTTAATTGGAATCCAGAACCTTCGAGATTATCATCCTCATTGTCGTCTTCTTCATCCGAATGACTAAAGTCATATGGAATTTCAGATTTATGCTCCAGGCTTTTATCGTCAGCAGAAATATTTCGAATACTTTTATCATTATTTTTCATATCAAAATTCCATTTCTCATCGTAATCGTAAATATCTTCTTTACGTACAGAACTTGAATCAACTTTATCATTTTCAATTGTATCATTAGCTTTCCGAAACTCGTGAAATATCTTTTCATTTTCACTTATAACATTTTCTACGATTTTATTTTTGCTGCTGAATTTTTCATCGTCATCGTTTGCATTATCTTTTTGTTCTTTACCATATTTGTTACTGAATTTATCATCATTATCACCATCTTTTTTGCTTTTGTTATCTATGAAATTATCATCTTTTACTTTAACGTCATCTTTTTCATCATCGGGTTCCATTTTTTCGTCATTGTAATCATCCTCGTCGTTTTTATCGTCTTTGTTTTCATCGTCGTCCTTGTTTTCATCGTCTTCGTAGTCTTTATCATCATCATCATCATCACTTTCATTTTCTGTATCATCGTTCTCTGCTTTTAGCGGTATCTAAAAAGTATAATACACATTATATAGTTGAAGTATTAAAAATATAAAACTCAGAAATTTTATTAAAGAAACAAACATGCTAGGAATTGTAAAGCTTAAAACATTAGGAAGGAAGGTCTTTTTTTTTTTTTTTTTTAAATAATAACATGAATTGTAATGCGTACACCAATCACAAAAATAAAATCTAGCAAAATTACCAGCAATGAGCAATAATTTATTGAAGTAAATATTTCTGTGTTTGATCGATCTGCTTTAAATAATTTGATAAATCAATTAGAAAATTTTATATTTCATGCATTGAAAGATACAAATTAATTTAAATTCATTATAAAACAAAACAAAACCGGACACAAACAAAAAACAACAAAAAAATCTAAACCGGAGTGTCTTTTTTACTATATTTTTATTTCAGTGTATTTTCACTTGAGTGCAAATTTCAATCGTTTTCATACCGCTATCAGCAGAATTTTGGTTATTTTCATAAATTTTCTATCGAATTTTTTAAAAAAGTATTTTAAATTGTATTTAGCTTCAAACAAACAGGAAGAAAAGATATGCTCGTATGAAGAAACCAGCACAACTAATTTTTTTATAGCTTTAAGTTTTCTCCTATTTACAAATATTTTATACGTAAATACTTTTGCAACATATGCCTATTTCAGTAGTAGGTATAGAAAATTATTGAAAAGCTGTAATTTAGTGACATTATAAGAAACAAGAGGCTTATTCATTGAATGAGGAGAAGAAAGCAAATTAAATTCATTTATTGAAGTACTGAATATAACTTTTTGTGCTACCAAGATTATCTCTTGGATTTTGGAGGTAAAATTTATAATTTTATTGGAAAATAATTGTATTTTTTCCGATCTAAAACGTCAAATGCATCCCTTTCATATTAAACTTCCATCACCACAAACACTTCACATTTCTTTTAAAAGTAATGGAACAGGTGTTAGGACTTTTAAGAATAAAATCTAGCAAGGCTGGCAAAAGCAAGAAAAATAATTAAATAATGCAACGCAATACCAAAGACGTCGAGTGTAATTTTTTTAATATTAAAACTTTTTAAAACAGAACGGGGCTGGCTTTAGTTTTGGAAATAATGTAAGTTGTTTTTGGATGTATTTAGTGCGGTTTGTTAAATGAATATATTTTTTTAATTGTCTCTATTTCCAATTACACCAAATCAAATTTTTAATTAAAAAAAAATAGTGCATGGAGTCCCTCCGCGCGGAAGAAGTTAAACTTCGCAACCTGCGACGTTAATTGTAGAAGAATCAGCAGTCGTAGAAGAATTCCTAGTTCTATTAAACGACTCTTTTTCCTGCTCCGCTCGTTTCCGTGCTCTGTAATCACGGTAATATTGTGCATTTTCCCCTCGTGGACCTCTTGAACCAGTGGGAGTGCTTGTGGTTGCCTCATCGTCTCGCCCTGGAAAATGTATTTGTATTAATAGCGTATGTGAATGCGTCATAATGTAATTTCAGAAGAGAAAACCTAACAATCAATTGATATTCACAAGAGACGTACCTTGACATAACCTTAAATCCGTCACATTGTTCGTGGGATTGTTTTCACTCATTTTTTACAATTGTTATCCACTAAGTTTGAAAATAAAAGATACTCCCCTATTAAATTGTATGTGTATCAAAACAAACTAAAAAAATATTTATAGAAAAACAATACTTTTATTATTTTTATGTTGGTGAGAACCAAAACAATATGGAAATGAATGAGGGAAAACTGGATCCTACCACGTGATTTCCCGGCCAATAAAAATGTAGCGTTAAACGTTTAACGCAGCCTCGTTGGAAGTCGCATAAGAAGTATAACTTCAATTATTGGGTATTCTGCTAGTCTAGATGCAGACTTAAGGCTCCTCCCAGACCAATCGGCAATTTCCTGACCCCAGATGTTTTAGGTTTTAGGTCTGGACAAGTTAAAATTCTTTTTGAAGTTATACTTCTTATGCGACTTCCAACAAGGTTGCGTTAAACGTTTAACGCTAAATTTTTATTGGCGGGGAAATCACGTGGAAGGATTCAGTTTTCCCTCATTCATTTCCATATTGTTTTGGTTCTCACTAGCATAAAAATAATAAAAATCATAAAAATATTGTTTTTCTATAAATATTTTTTTAGTTGGTTTTGATACATTTATAATTTAATAGGGTAGTATTTTTTATTTTCAAATTTAGTGGATAACAATTGTAAAAAATGAGTGAAAACAATCCCACCGGCAATGCGACGGATTTAAGGTTATGTCAAGATACGTCTCTTGTGAATATCACTTGATTGTTTCTCTTCTGAAATTACATTATGACGCATTCACATACATTATTAATACAAATACATTTTCCCGGGCGTGACGATGAGGCAACCACAAGCACTTCAACTGGTTCAAGAGGGAAAAATGCACAATATTACCTTGATTACAGAGCACGGAAGCGAGCGGAGCAGGAAAAAGAGTCGTTGAATCCTTCTACGACTGTTGATTCTTCTACAATTAACGTCGTAGGTTGCGAAGTTTAACTTCTTCCGCGCGGAGGGACTCCACGCACTATTTTTTTTTCTGTTTGGTAAACCTAAAAAATGTAGATTTTAAATTTTTTTAATTGTTTTTCTATTTTATAGCTTTTCTTCATTGTTAGAAAAAAACATGATTACAAATATTCCAGATTTTTAAGGCGATGCAAAATTGAACCAATTTTTGCAGTAAAATATTTGTATTTACGTCGTAAGTACAAACATTTAATCAATTAATTGTCACAATTTTCTATTAAAGTTGTTTGATATTCTCTGCACCTCTTTTCTTACAGAACATATTATCCCCGATGTAATAAAGACTTCAAACATCAGACTAGTAATGGAAAAGGAATCTGAGAGGGGAAATAGTTTTACATAAAAATAATTAAGTAGTTTAAAAACGTGTTAACTTCGCAACTCTGACCAGTTTTTTTTTTAATTTAAAAAAGATGGATTGATGTAAAATGTTGATTAAACTTTTTTAATATCTGCATGTAAATTGATAAATTGACATATGAAGAAAAATATTGTTGGCAACATAAGCACTTTTTCTGAAGAAACAATATTCCATAAGGAGTGATTGAAAATGAGAAAATAATTTAAATAGTTTTGCAATTTCATATCAAAGAGCGAGAGTAGAATGTTTTCAATTACAATGGTTTTTAAATAACATGAATTATCAATAAAGTCATGTTCATAGTTTTGAACTATTCTCAGTTACAGCTAAAGAGCATGAATTTATCTTTTATTTAATTTTGCAATGTCTGAGGCGCAACTCATCATCTTCAACTTTAACTTGAATTTTATTCAATAGATCTCATGTTCATATAGGCATGGAGATTGGCTTTAAACCGTCGTTTTTTACTTTACTGTTGCAAGTTCAAAGTTTAATTTTACTCATTTTTAGAACAAAACAACGATAATATATAAATTATCATCTTGTCAGCTAACACGATTATATCAGCAAAATAGTGCTCTCTAGCATTATGAAGGAAATATGTAATGAAGGAAAATTCTAAAAGCTATACATTCCACTTCTGATGGACAAAAAAAAAAGAAGAAAAAAGAGCATTCCTAATCGAGTTAAGAGTTGCTTTTGCACCTAAAATTAAATTAACTTTCAATGCTATTAAATAAACTGAAATAGTTTTCTGAACTAATTTCTTTGCCACTGAAAATGTACGAGATCGATTTGATATACACAACGCACACTTAAAATTTTTTGACATTAGCCTCATTGGCCATAGGTGACAGCAAAAGTTTCCCAAACTACGTGAAATTTGTCAAACTGCAAATGGCGGCCCCAACCATGAAAAAACTATTGGTTTATACACGGCTAGTTTCTGCTGGAATGGAAATTTGCCTTTATCATGATTGCTCGAATCTCTAGGAATTATAATGTACAATATATAATTGAACTACTCTGCAAATAGATTGTAAGAATAAATGCTTTGCACAAAAATTCTTTTATTTTTTCCACCTAACGTGTTTTTTAGAAAAATTTTGCACGCTTGTTATTTGTTTAAACAGACGACTTAAATATTTTTTGGAAACCGAATTTGCTGAAAGCATTTGTGTTTTGGTTGTTCTGAAAAAAATCTCTCAGGACACTATTGTGGGACATTTCAATGTCGATCTAATAAATATATTCTTTGAAGCATTCTATTGAATTTACATGCACAAATGGTAAGAAACTTGAGGTAAAATTTGCTGGAATCTTACCATTTGAAACTTATTCAAATTGCAAGGAAATCGGGATAATTCGAGTTTTTCAAACTTATTATGTGACCAGTGTTCATTGAAATAATAGTAATATTATAACATATTTAAATTTCTTAAACTATAAAATAATCATATGAAGCAATAGCTTGTTGGTTGTGCAATTTTATGTGATGCAAAAAAATTTTAAAAAAATTTACATTTTATGAGTTTTTTAAATTTTGATATCAATGCGCGACCAGGAGATATCAAAGAATTTTAAAAATTTCTGTGATAATTTTCTTCTTTTTAAATAAGGCATATTAAAGCGCTGGGAAATAAAGTTTGGGAATTTAATTTTGGATTGTAATTCTTTTCAAACCTTTTTAATTAATTATCATCTTGTCTTAATGGCACTATTTCGCTTAGTTTTAGTGAGTTGATGCTATATAAGGAAACTTAGAACGAAACGCATTTTAAAGTGAGCAATGGCTAAATCATAAAATAATTATATTTGGAAATAAATAACAGGATAATAAATACAATATTTTTTTTTTGGTTAATGGCCGGCACTTGGGTCTGTTTTCCATTGACCTCAGAAATGCCTGAACTGCTACTTTCTTCTCGTTACCCAGTGAGCACCTATGGGTGGCCACGGCGGTGGAGCAGTGTCACCCATGTCACACAACCACAAACCCGTTTATAGGGCGGGTCACATTCACACAAGCACACAGGAGAAAGGACATAGAACAGAGAGAGAGAGAGAGAGAGAAACATCCATGCCCAGAGCGGGATTCGAACCTGCAACCATCGACTCCGCAGTCAGGCACGCTAACCACCTGGTCGGCATAAATACAATATAATATATGGAAGTTTTCAGGGGAAATATACGTAATAAGTGTGTTCAAATACCAACGGAAAGCTTCAAATGATGTATTATTGGATTTTTAATTAAAATAATTAAAATAAAGTTGAAATATTTTAGACAAAAATGTAATCAGAAATTCAGTATGTATAACGTGATTATTTCGGGTTATTCATCTATTAGCTCAATATTAATGTTTATGTTTACATGGAATGAAAATTATTTCGTGATTAGATAATGATAAGGGTTTCAAATATTTGTTTATATAAACACGGATTTTTATAAAAGCAAACACATTTTCGATAAGTATTCTTTCCTGACACGTTCAAAAATTCGGATTGTTTATTGATAGTAACACTACAAAAAAAAGAAAGCTCTGTTCTGACGATAAATTGTTCGTAACAGTGTTTATGATTTCATAACATATATATTTATATTATAAGATACAGTGATGAAATTGCCTTTTTGTTTTAACTGTATTAGAAGAGTAACGTTGCTGTTTATTTACAGTGTTTTAGTTGCTTTTTTTAATAATTTATTATTGCGGGTTGAAAATATTTTTTCAGTTGTTTAAATATCAAATGAGATATTTTGAAAGGATTTTAAAATATTCGGATAGTGAATAAACTTTTTCATAAATATGATGCAAAAAAATGCATTACAATTCGATATTGTTATTTTTATGTACGAAATAAGTAAAATATGCAAGTAAAATTAAAAAAAAAACATTACGTTACGAAATTGATTAATACAGTTTTACATTTAAGTAACTATTTTGCCCTTTTATATACCACACTGTTACGCATTTCACACACTGAGAAAACTAGAATAATCGAAACTATCAGAAAAAGGTCAAATTTACCGTTTTTATGACTCTATGGAAACACCCAAAAGCTCAATAATTTCGACATTTTCGTAAATTTAACAATAAATGTGGTTTCATAATATAATATAAAAAATTAGAAAATTTGGTAAACATGGTGAAATTCGTTAATTTTATCATGTTTAGAGCATGGCATAAAAACAATTTATTCGGTAAAATTCGATCGAGATAGCCCAGTTGGTAGAGGGTTGGACCTATGTCTAAGAGGTCGTGAGTTCGATTCCCGTAAGACTCTCCGTGTACAAAATGTTGAGTGGTACACGCTAAATCTGTCAGGGTCACAAAGTCCTTCAAATTCCTCTAACTAATCAATATCTCTGGGGGTACTGTATCCGAGTTTGATCGTGCCCTGGTTCAGGTCAAAACCACGATGTGCGGATGGATGTGTGAATATGTCCTTCCTGTAAAACGGGTTGTCACGCATGTATGTTGCAGAAATAGAATTCTTAGCCATCGATGAAGTCACTGGAAAACAAGAAAAAGTGCACCCCTCTGCCTTAAAATAGTCTTGTCAGTATTAACAAATGGCAAAAGACAACGGCAACATTCAGTAAAATTTACTTCCCAGTTTTGTATTTTTTTTCAAAATGCTCGTTAATAAGAATCATAATGTTCAAAACCAGAATTTCCGGTATACTCTTACCATATGAAAAGAAAAATTACCAAATGAATGATTCAAATACCGTATATGTTAGTTTTATTTATCAGAGTTAAAATCTTTATTTATTTTTTTACCATAAGTGTCATTTCCCTATAGTACGGTAATTTTACCAGATATTTTTTTCTCTGTGTACAAAAAAGTTCTTCCTGTGATTCATTTTCTTTTACTCAAAACTCACTTAAGTCATTTTTGCCAATTACCATGAATTAAAATGGAAAGAAAAACTACAAAATTATATACGGTGCATTGGCGGGATGTTGTTTTGAATTTTATTCTTCAGGTTATACCGTTCTGTGATTCTTGAGCATTAATGCCCGATTCTTGTAATTTTTGTAATTGTAAAAAAATTGTTCTCACCTTATCTAATTTACGAAATTTATTGGAATTACCATTAATGATCAAATATGCAAAGTAGACGGGAGTAATTTTAAATCACACATATTTTTCGGTGTTGAATGGCATCTAGATAACGATAGATGGCATTTAGAAAACGATAGAACAATGAGAACAATGATGATGACAAACCTTTCCTTTATTACTTTAGCTCTCAATTGCTTAGAAAAATATAGGAAGGAATTTTTATTTTATAATCCATTTACTAATAATCTAATTTTTTCTGCCCAGTGACTCTATTATAGTTTGATAATACAAATCCATTATTTTAAGATAAAAATTCCAAACCATCAAAGGGTCAAGAAAACAAATGTTTTCAGATCAATACTTTAGAAAAGTTTAATTATCGGAATTGCTATTTATCTGATATTTTTAACTGAAGAAGTCTCTAAAAAATAAATCAGGTATGACATTGGTAATTTTTCTAACTATATTTGATAAAAGAGAGAATTTTCCAGTTTAGTTAATTTGGTTTACTTTTTCTTCATTTTTGTAGAACTCAGATTTTTAAACTAAAAAAATTGTTCTTGAGTTCTTAGGTTTTTATTCATTGCTGTTGAAAAATCAATATATGTGATATCGTTAAGCTTGTGATTAATAGGTAGCGTTTGAAAACTTATTTTAACTATAAAGGCAAGCTTACTGCATGTTTTAAAATATATATTTTCTAATATAATTTTATTTTACTGAAAGGAAAAAGGCTAGAAAATAGAATTAAAGAGAAAGGATGGTGGGTGAAATGACTCATATTACTAAAAGTATTCCAAGAATATTATTTTTTGTGTTCTATTATTTTCTTTCCTTAAAATATCGATTTTAACATTATTAAAGACACATTTAAAAAACAAAAAAAAACTTTTCAAATATTAGACATATTTGAATGCATATTGCTTGAAAATTATATTACATTTAATAACTTCTTTTATTTACTATTTTAGAATAGCTTAAAATTTTAGAAATGTTTTTCTACTTTAGGTATTTTCTTTGTGATACAACGTAGAATTATATACATCGGTTGATGTGTTATATATTGCTTATATTATTTATATAAAACGGAATCAAGATATAAATGAATAATTATTGACAATTATATAGCTATTCGAATTTTTTTTTCCAAATCCCGCTTGGAGAATGACCTTCTTTATACAGGCATCCGAGGGGCAGTTTTGTTGGCCACTTTTCCAGGGGCACCATATTGGGTGGGCCAATGCTCCCTCAGTATGAACAAATACTACAGTGAATGAAAAAACATACATGCATTGCCCGGGTTCGAACCCAGAACCTTTCTGATACAATGCAAGTTCCCTGACCCCTACACAAGCCGGTCGGCTAGTTATTAAAAGTTCTAATTAAGAAAAGTTTTACGGTTTTGTAAATTATGTAAAAATTATTATATGATATATATATATATATTCTGAGTAATTTAAACTTCAAGTGAACTCAATAGTTTTAAGTTAGATTCATTCACAATAATATTTTGACAAGATACGATAAAAATTAAGAGAATTAGGTTTCACGCACTTGAAAATATCATGCACTGCATTCTGTAAATCATATTGAATTGTATGACTGTCTTCATGTAAAATACGTTTTGCTGCACTTAAAGACAGCTAAAAGTTATATAATGCTGGTTTTTAAAACGTAAAAGGAAGAAAAAAAGGCATATGTAAGACTTATGGAAAGGACATAAAAGTTTTTACATTAAAGCTTTTTAACTTATAATGTCATAAAAAAGATCTATTTTAAATGTTTAAAAAACTAAAGTAGATAATACAACTAATTTCTGCCTTTACTACAACTATTTATGACCTATTGCTCTTATTATGGTAAAAAAAAAGTTACTCAAATTCTGGTCACCAGAACATTTCACTGTAAAACTTTGCTAAACAAGGAATTTGATATATCATAATTTTTACAGTGATATTTATCTTATGGTAAAATCTTACACTTAATTAAATCTTATGGTAAAATCTTAATTTTACAGTAAAATCTAAAACATCATAATTAGTGCAGTAATATTTTCTCTAAAATCCCTAAACCATTGATATTAAATGAATATTACTGTAAAAAGTACACTGTGAAATTTTATGGTAAAACTGCATTTTACAGTAAAATGAACTTTACGGATGCTGCAGTCAGGGTGCCGGTAGTTTTACGGTTGTTTTATCTGGATTTTTTTGCAAAGTAGCCTTTCATTATTTCTGATGAAATGGATGGCATGTAACAGGCCATAGTTCCTTGAAAGAAGAAGAAGCCTCTCATAATCATAGGAAGTTGATATTAATTGATTGAAATAAAACTTCATCTTCCGATTATGATTCAATACATAAAGCAAAAGCAAAAAGGAACGCGTTCAGAAAATGTGGCTGTTCAAGAGAAATGGAGGGTTAAATTTAGATTTTTGAGATCGTTTTACATAAGAATCAACAGGAATGGTGGGTTTACTCTTCCCCTGCAGCATGACTTGAAAAGAGCATGAGCGATGATAAAATTTATAAAATTGAATGGATTTCTCCCACTGAGTAAAATATACTATAATATTTGTATGGCGTAAATATTTTAAAAATAAGTATATAATGGCAATACCTTGTCTTTAATGGTTGTTTCCTTGTCTTCATAATCGTCATAATCATCATCAGTTTTCGGACTCCCTTGCCCTGATCCAGGGTCTTCAAAACTAAAATCTTCATCGTCAATGATGATGTCACCCCTTAAAGGAAGTTGGTCATTTTGTGGTTTGGAAGACACGGTGGGTTTCACCCTAATTTCCTGCCGCAAAGCATATGTTCCGGATCTCGAATACTAAAATAGATAAGAATATTTTTTTAAATAATTAGTACAAACTTGATATTACACTGCAAGAAATTTCTCGGAAATTTTTTTAAATGACATTATATTCAAACACAACAGCCAGATAATCATAAATAAGATTGCAACCAAGCTGTAAACTGTGAGAAAAATCGTTTATTAACTGCTTTCACTTAATACGGTTAAACAATCAGAATTTTATTGCACCCACTAAGCCCACCTAAGGAAGCCACTTAATTCCTTGTGCATATTATATTATATTTCTTGTGCACTGTGTGCATATTATAGCCGAGAGGACTAATATGACAGGAAAATTCGAATTACTCATCTCTAAAATACTTGAACATCTCGAAGGATAATTCGAAGATATGCTACCAAAATTTTGACCCTCTGCAAAGGCAATGGCTCCCCCGATTTGATAGACCGCCGACTTGCGTGCGAAGAGAACACTTTAAGATAGAATTGTTTAATGTGCCCCGATACCACACGCCCTCGGTCTCTTCGCAGATTGATCAAAGTGGTCACCCACCCCCGCATTGACCGCTGCGAGTGATTGTTACTTTGGTCATCTACCGGGAATTGCGTCTTACGATTAGTCCACTGTTGGAGGCTAACATGAAAGAAACACGCTTCCTAGTAAAACTTTAGTTAAAAATTACCGATAGTCGCTCCTTAACATAAGGGTGAATTATCTTATACTGAAAACGTAATGAAATGAGTTTAAGGACTTTTTTGATGAGTTCCATAAAAATGAAAAGCTTTTTTTTTAAATAAAAATTATCTTCAAATTTTTTTTTATCAACATTTGTTAAAATATGTTCTAATTCGATATTGCTGTCAGTTAAGTTAATTGTCCAGATAATTGCTAATATCGAAGTGAAACTTGTCTCGTTTTGCTTCCTATCTGATTAGAAACATATGGTTCAAAATTTAGTGTTCTGTCATGTTAGGAACATGATATTTAGCATTACTGTTAGTTGGGTGAATCATCTCAATAATTACAAAAATTCTGAATGAGCCTTTTTTAATTTTCGTATTTATCTCCTGAAGAGCCCACTGTCTAAGATCTAACTTTCTAACCTTAAGGTATGTGGGAGAATTAGAGATGAGTCAATGAAAGACGGCTTTGCTTTTTTGCTTTTTCTATAATCGATATAATTTGAAGCATATTCGGATAAGTACAATTTACTCATTAAAAAAGGTAATTACCCATAAACTACTTGTAAATCCCATTCTGTAAACATGTTTTGAATGTATTTAAATTTATATATATATATATGTATTTCATTTTGAAATTCCTAAGTAGTTAAATTATTTGCAATATACTTTTTTGGAAATATCAATTAGCATATTATCAAAAGAACGTTTTTGATTGGTATGATAATTTAGTTAAAATGTATCGACTGTAATAATTTTACATCGAAAATCGGAACAAAGCTAGAAAATTTGNTATTTCGTATATATATAAGCGTAAAAATATATAAGCGTAAAAATCCATATCCATCCAAATGTCCATATATATATAAGCGTAAAAATTTCGTTGTGTACCTGTACTTTTCCGATGTCTTAATTGTTGTATAAAAACATATTTAACTAACCTTGAAATAATTTTCTACTAGCTCATTAATTATTGATTGTCTTTTACACAATGCTCATATTTTTTCATGGAAAAAAAAGCTTCTTTAAACTTTTGGTTGTTCAAAAACGGGTAAATCTGAGAAAATGTTTCACACATATACACAGTTTCATTATAGAATGAAATGGAAAAGTTGGTATTACTAAGAGAAGAAGAATGTAACACGAAATATAAGATTTTTTGCAGGATATTCCAAAATCCTACGTATAAAATTTAAATGGAGAAGGATTGAAACTAAACAGAGAACATCGGATTGAAAACCACGAAGAGTGCGTAAAAATCTCAAAAAACACGTACTGGTTCTGAATTTTGAATCTAGTGCAGATATACGTCGTTTCAGGAGTCACCACATAAAAACACACCTGGCATCTTTAAACACGTCCGGGAATCGTTTATTCGTACTTGTAAGCTGTGTAATGACTTCAACGGGTTACTTCAAACAAATCTTGAAATAATTAGTTAAATAAATATTTCTTCAGTCAGTAAATTTGAAGTATCTTTCGTTTTTATTTTCCATCGTGACGTCATAATTCCTGCATGGGATTTGCGTGATTTTTTCTCATCTCGACGTGGTTTGCGACCCCATGATTGATAGTAAGTTTGATGCCTTTTATCACCGCTCAAAGTTTGGAGATCAAATTTTTGGAACACTTTATATATGAGCTGCAGTCAGATAGTTAAAAAAAGGTGTATAGTGAAATATTGAAAGTTCAGAAGAAAAAAAAGAGTTCTTACAAAAGGCTGCGTGGTGGAGTTACATTGTTTTTCAGCTGCATCAGGACTTCCAGTAACTGTTATCTGCTCAACATCTCCCTAAAAATACATAAAAGTTATACAAAGTTGTTTGAATACGAAACATATTTGAGCTATTTTAATGATAACAATAACATTTTCATTTTTAGTGATGTAAAATATTAAAAGTTTGAAGTCTGTTTCATTGTACTATAGAAACCTACATTAATACAAATACATATATTGTACTTGATAGCTTTTTTAGTTATGCATAATAACTGGATGATAATTAAATTAAAAGAGTATCTTACCTTATTTCAAAATTATGAATTTAAACCGTGCAATTATCTTTGGGGCATATATTCATTCTAATGTACTTATTAAGTATGTACAGATTTTAGACTCTTTAAAAAAAGTGGTGATTAAAATTTGATTTTTCAAATTATCAGATAACTTAAAAAATATCTAAGTAAAAAAAATTGCAGGGCTTGGCGGAATAGGAAATTTTTAATGGAATATTTTGCTTCGAACTTGTAAGCATCATTAGTCGGTATTTATTTTTTAAATAAATATGAGATGGTTATCAAACCAGAACATATATTTTAATGAATTTAAGTAATATGGCAAATTGTGCAACATAAATATTAGTTATATACTGGTTTAGATATCACGTCATTCAATGCCAGCAATGCATAGAATAATCTGCATTGAATATCAGTATTGTCAATAGTATATTTAACATTATTAACGTTATTTTACAATGTTAAAAAGCAACTTGAATAACATAAACAATATTTCAAATACAAATAATACCCCATTTGAAAGATCCAATTTACTAAACACTAACAATTCATAGAATACTATAAATCTACATTGGATAACAGAATCACCAACGATACGTTCAATATTATAAATATTATCTTGAATATTAAAAAGATCTTGAATAACATAAACAACATTTTAAATATTGCAAATAATGTCTAATTTAAAAGAATTATTTTACTGAACGCCAACAATGCATCAAATACCATAATCTACATTAGATATCAGAATTGCCAATAATATCCATATTCATTATTAAAAACTTTATCTTGAATGTTAAAAAGATCTTGATTAACATAAACAATATTTTAAATATTGAGAACAGTATCTTAGATATCATATGCAATGTCTTAGGTAGTAAGTAGCATTACCTTGTTACCTATAATCTATATGCTATGGTAATTTTTTAATGAGAAGTATTTTCGACTTTCAAATATGAATCTAAGTTCTATCCTCTAAATAGTAGTTACGTGACTTTTCAATAAAAATAACTTACTGAATTTCAAGAATTCCATTCCGACATTTACCTCGCTTTAACAATAACCTGAGATACAGTAATCTCTTTAACATGGAGAGTAAATGCATAACAGGACATAACATTTTCAATTTCACTGAAATTATCACCGAAATGTAATTTCCAACCCACACATCCAATCATTCATCGAAATCGGAATTCCGGCAAATGCCCAGACAATATATACTTCACCTCAATACTTCACTCCTTGGAATGTGGGATTGCAATTAGCATACGTTGGCGACTTCCAGTGATTGAGCATGTTAATGACATTACTGATTACGAAGCAGTTTAACAAACGTCGCCGGCCAGTAGACGTTAGCAAGAGTTGCTGATGGATGGTTAAACAAATACCGCCAAGGCCTGTGACGGTTAATGCACAAAATTTCAAACAAAGTAGATTATTACTAATCAGGAAAGGGTGTGAGAGATATTAATATTTGTAACGAATGGCAAATGGAGATGAGCTTGAATAATGAACTGATTTTGTAAGTGTCTATAGCTGGGAACTAAGCTATTTTTACAGATTCTGCTGCTTGCAGAGTTGGTCAGTAAAGTATAGTGTTGTAGACATTTAATAGTAACTAACTCGTTACATTATAGTATTTGATTTTGTTGGAAATTTTGTTCTGAGATTTCTCTTAATTAAACCAGAGGATAGTTTGGTATTTAATTTTTTTTTCATTTGTTTTTATGTTATGTTTCAAACGTTTTGGTTTCGATGATTTGGTATTGAATATTTTTTCATTTGTTTTTATGCTGTGTTTCATACATTTTGGTTTCAATGATTTAGTATTGAATATTTTTTCTTCTTTTATGTTATGTTTCTAACGTTTTGGTTTCGATGATTTGTTATAGAATATTTATTCATTTGTTTTTATGTTATGTTTCAAACGTTTTGGTTTCCATGATTTGGTATTGAATATTTCTACATTTGCTTTTATGTTATGTTTCAAACGTTTTGGTTTCAATGATTTAGCATTGAATATTTTTTCTTTTGATTTTACGTTATGTTTGGAACTTATTTTAACGAATATATAATTTTTTTTATCTTTGAATAACATTAACTGGTTGAAAGCCTAAACGTAGTAGTTGAATTTTGAAATATTTTATTCAATTTTAAAGATGTCTTACCTTTAAAATGCATAAATTCGTTATTCAGCCTACAAGAAATGCGCAGATTATCTAGGGTGATCTATTAAACTGCTAAAAGTTGTTTCTCAAATTATGAAAATTATTCAAAGACTACCAAGATTATCCGCATACATTAAGCACTCATTTAAATGAAAATAAAATCTTTGATGGAACAGCACGTATCTACATTTAAATGAACAAATGTTAATCATTTTTTCGATTGCTGAAAAATTAAGTTAATTCAAAAAGAAAAAAATAATAATCCCAAGGAACTCAAACGGTAAGATATTATTTTATTAAAAATTTCATTCGCTTCAAAAATTCAAAAATTAGAAATAACAGTCGACATTCTTCAAGTGCTCAAAAATATGTCCACATTTTCAAATCTTGCCGGGCGTATTATACACGCTCAATCAAATTAGATCAAATAATAATATAGAATTATCAAATAATAATATAGAATTATCGTATAGTTATAAGATTTAAAGCAAAAGCCGTAAACACTTGAAACCAAACTAAGAGCGAAGGAGTGTGCTTTAAAGAGATATGAGCAGCTATTTTGTGAAAATTTATAAAATATCAAATACTAACTTCTATTCCTATTGCTTGCGGCAGTTTACTTACACTTTAATGCAAAAAAGTTTATTTTGGGTAAATAACATAAAAGTTCATTCAACTTGAAAATTTAAGATAGTTTAAAGATTATTAAGATTTTTTTAGGATTAATTGAAATTCTAAGAGTGGCTAAAAAGTATTGTATAACTTCTCAAATAGTCTTTTAAGAAATATTTACATCTACGTTTGAAAATATTAAAACAGAGTAATGCAGTTTAAAAGAAACTACAACTAAAAACAGATTTAAATTTCAGTTTCAACTCGCGATATATTTCAGCATTATAATATCGTTATAAAAAGTGTTTCAAAACTTATGTAAAAATTTTTTTGTGTATGGTATGAATAATAAAATGAATCTGGAACAATATTTTTAACATATAACATATTAAAATATTATTCTGGTATGGCTTGAATAGTCAAAAGTTTTAGAGTGGCATGATCTATACATACATAATGTTTTTCTCCAAAAGCTAGTATATACTCTCCGGAAGTAGTATTCAAAGCCTTTTCAGTTTATTATTCGTCTAGACTGAAGTTAATAAATTTCTATGTTATGTCTGATTTTCAAATTATGATAAATCGATTTTAAAAAAACATAAATTTTTATAATCTGCACAGGAATTCAATTCTATATAATAATTCAACATTGCTAAACATAAACACGTATTTCATATATTTATATAAGATTTGTTAAGGTATAAAAAAACTTGGTCTTGCGGAAGTTTGAGCTAAATAAGAAAAAGTTTAAGACAGTCTTATAGTTGTACATATTGTTAAATTTACGACTTGTAAGGTTGTTCAATAACATAACTGTTTATGCTCTTTTTAAAACTGCGCCTTTAGTTGGTTAAAATTGCTTGTAGTCAATAACTACTATTAAATATATGTAGGTCCAGTAGATATATTACAGATATGAACCACACTTTCAAACTCTTCAAAATAGCTGTTTTTAAACGTTTTTGATTAAAATACTACCACGATTTCAGCGTAGGTAATAACAGTTTTCTAGTCAATGCTTATCATTGATTAGAAATTCTGGAAGCGCGTGAAGTATTAATCTAAAAACAATACTAAGGTTTAGTTTGACATAAAATTGCCATTTTCGGAATGAGCGCAGTTAATCATTTACTAACCACATGCTCCTCATATCTATTACGTTTAAATCAATAATAATAACCCCAGGCAGTCAATGTTATATCAATCACAAATGACAATTACTGACAGCCCGCAGCTGTAAAGATTCCTAGCACCACAATAAGCGCGTGACTGAATATTGCGGCCCTTCCTAAATAATGGTATTCCACTAGAATTTTATATTCGTGGTGCTGTTTGAAAGATTATTTCACAATTATATACATCCTTTTATTATTTCCTAAACTTAACTATACTATTATTTTATTTTCGATTGTATTGTAAGTATTCATAACTTTATTGTTGTTCAAAAATAAGGACTAGAATGAATGTTTTTTTTTATGCATGAACTCGGTACATAATAATAAAGATATTTGTAATTTGTTATACTTACTTGTAAATAGCGAAACTAGCATGTTCGTTAAGTATTGCAGATTAATAATTAGCTTTTAATAAGTTGTAAGTAAAACTTGTTAAAAGCAAACGTTTTAGTACTATTAAAATTCATTAAAAGTTACTATTAGCATTATCTTTAATAATATTTGTAAGCAACTGTTAGGCTCTTCTTAATATGGTACCGTTGTATCGGAACAATATATTTTGCAATTCATAGCTATGATAAATGAAACTTGAGTCTTGAACATAGATATAAAAATCATTTAAAGCACCTTATCAGCTAAAAAAACTCATTCTAAATGTAAAAAAACAAATTAAATGAAAGAAAAACAATATCGGAAGAAATCTTTAAAAAACGGTTGAAAGATTTCCGATTTAAACTATTTTTCAAAACGAAGCTTCTTAAATTGAAATTCTGTTTGCTCTAGCTTACCTGTTTCTTTGTAAATTTTTGACACGAAACATAATT